GCCTTCCATAGCTGATCGAACGTTTCTGAGATGCCAAGTGTTTTCACTGATGAACATTTAACCCCCTCTCATCTGTCTGCTTTTTTGTTTTGCTTGCACACTCTTGCTACATTCTCCTACTAGCATGATGAGGGAAATGACGAAACAGCGTCTAATTTGAATTAAACAACTTAAAAAACAGTGTGGGGAGGTGTAGAAGTGAGTCAGTGAAGCTTTGGCTTGTGACGCAGCAGTGCCTTACTCCAGACTAGGGTTGGGATCTGGATCTGGTTCTTTTTTGGAACCGGGTCCAAAGTTCCGGTTCCGGAACCGGTTCCATCACTTTTGGAGTAATGGTTCCTGCAAACGGTTCCTAGATTGTAAAAAAAAACACGTCACGTGCATTTCCATTAGAGCGCGGAACGGGCCACATATTTCTGTCCAAACCCGACCGAGCCCGACATTATTTAATGACTAAAGCACTGAGTTTGTGTCACACAGCTGTTACGGTTACAGGCTATTTAACAGGCCGGGCGTGCGCCGTGGGTGCTCCGCGGAGAGGGAGACCTCCGTGTTTGAGTCGAGAGTGGGCGGCCGGAGGTCTGAGGCTTCCAGGGAGGGGAGAGGGAGAAATATAACAAAATAAGATAAAATAGGAAAACTTGTCTCCCTCTCTTATTTAATTTTCAGCGTTTAATAAAGGCGGAGGCGGGTGGCGGGAGGTCTGAGGCTTCTAGCGAGGTGAGCAGTAGAAACAAACAGACAGTGTGTGTGTGTGTGTGTGTGTATGTGTGTTCTCTTCAGGTGTTGTCACGTAAATAACAGTGCCCAAGCATGAATGCATATAAGTTTTTTTTATTACATTGCTGTGGTTAATTTGAGGTAATAGTGTTACTGTAGAAATCAGAGAATCACTTTATGTCATTATATATTCTCAGGGAGATGATACAAGCTCTAAATCTGAAATACACACCACACACAAATGTGTATTTTCATCTTATTGTACTGTGCAACAGTTAGAATAAAGTTTTTGTATTTGTATGATTGCATTTGTGTTTATTATATACTTGTTTAAGTATAGCAAGCATAATGAATATAATGTAGGAATCGGTAAGAGGAATCGGTAAGGAATCAGACCGTTAAGAAGGAATCGGTAAGGAATCGGAATTGTTAAAATACTCAACCCTACTCCAGACACACTGCTCTCAGAAAAGCCATTTGCCCACTTTTTAAAGGTATCCAATGATATCCCAGTCTCACAAGTGGTGTCCCTTTGATTTAAAACCATGTCAGGAGACTTATTTTCTGAAGTGTCAGATGAGCAGCCGAGCGGGAAACTACGGCAGGTGTAGTTGATGATATGCCAACTGGAAATGGTTTTCCCTTGATTTGAAATATTCCGAGGGGCATCAAAAGGGAGAATGTGCTGCACAGTCCCTTGAAGAAACCTTGCCTCTAACCCTCCTTTGATAATTGCTATGCAAAGGTTCTTGAAATGAATTACTGATCAGCCGAGTGTTGCGGAGAGAGCGACTGTTTGGGGGAGACAGAATGAAGGATGAGACCCTGCCACAGGCCCTGGAAAAGAATATGCATGTGTCAAACACGCATACAAATTGCGAGTATGGATGCTAAAAATATGTGTGTGTATGCATGAGCACACTTGGATTTGCTTATGTACACAAATGCTGCAGAAATGCATAACAAAAGCATGTGGTCTCTACATAGTCTTGGCTCAGGCTTATTCAGTTTTGCTCTCTAACATCCTTATGCAAAACTGAAGAACACGGAGCACAGAACTCTTTTCAGTGCACAATAACATACACAAATATAGCATACAACCCACATGAGCCAACCAGTAATATTCTCATCCCTATATAGAAGAGTTTCACACATAGGTAGAGAGAAATAAGCCTATATAGAGGCAATGTACACTTGGCAGAGTGCCAAACACTAGCTACCACTCTGTTAAACTGAGTCTCATTTAGGCTTTCCAGAGCGCTGGCTCAAAGGAAAACTCCTTTTCAATACAGACATTATCACACAGGTGGAAAAAATACAGGTATCATGTATACGCCCATATATTAAATCAGACAATGACATACCTTTACATGCACGCTGTGGTGTAAGAATTAATCCCTAATCTAGTAAAAGTGATATACTGCATAAATTAAGAAATAAATAAAGAAAATAAATAAAGAAAAAGTCTTATAACCATCATATAACCATGTTTTATGCATACGTTCTTATAACACTGAGTGAAATGCATCTATATGTGTTAAAACACTGTTATACATAACAAAGTATTCATACTATGAGTTCACATTGTATCCATGCTAAAAAGAACACATATAACCTATCACACATACACCCAAATGTTTGTATTACCTGATGCACATTAAAAGATTATATTGCATGAAGGCACAAGGGACTTATAGAAATAGTTCCTGAGTTCCATATGTTTTTTAAAAAATAGTGCAACCTGAGTTCCAACCTAATGGTGGGAGAGTCTGGGGATTCACAGGCCGATGGAAAAAAGATACATCATTAAAACATGCCTGGGCATGTTCGGGCATGACTGGACAAAGGCAAAAAGGCCGGCCACCAATAGGTTTGGGCTCAGGTAGGAAGGGCTAAAGAAAGAAGGTGGAGATTCTCCTGAATCTTCACCAGCATAAAAGAGACACCTCAGAAAGTCAAACTTCAGTCCTGCTCCAGAGCGTGACTCGCTGAATTGTATGTGTTAAAATTTGTGAACACATTAAACTCGATTGCATCGGACTCTGCCTGTCTCCAGTGTTTCTTTGAGTATTACTTAGTTGAATCCAAGGTACCAGATTGACATCAAAGGGAAACAGAGAAGTCAAGTGGAGGACAAGGTCGGGAGCCTACAGGCCCACTTCCAGGCGCCGATTTTTGCCTCTACAACGCGCGCGCACACACACACACACACACACACACACACACTCCATCTGGTTTTGTTGTTTACAGAAGTCTGTGAAGTGTCCCTCTTTCCAAATACCAGTCGTGTGATATTACCTCCTATGGAGTGGTAAGCTGTTCCCTTCTAAATCCAACATGAGGAACAAATGTTGGTTTCCTCGTAGAGAGTACAGAGCACAGAACCAACTGGGTACACTCCCAGGCCAGTGCCAAATGAACATGCTCTGAGTCAAATGAAGCTGTGGAAACATGTTATTGCTTCATAAATGTGCACCTTTAACTGTGCTAGCAAACCCACAAGAAGGGATTCAAGGCAGCACTCAACACAGGATACATTTCAAAATACAGCTACCGTCATGTCAAGTCTAACGTTACCTGCTGGATGAATAGGTTGAGATACATATCACATCCTCATAAAACCTCTGTTCCCTCTGTTATCCCTCTCTTTCCTCTATGTCTCTAAAAATACAAACAGACTGCATGGCCGCGCTGTTCCAGATACTGACAGAGGAAGATGCCTATAGAGTGATAGTTTAGACATCCATGTTAATATTCATTCATTCATTTTCTGTAATCATTTATCCTGTTAAGGGTCACAGGGGCTGGAGCCCATCCCAGCTGACATTGGGTGAGAGGCAGGGTACACCCTGGACAGGTCGCCAGACTATCACAGGACTGACACACAGAGACAGTCAACTATTCACACTCACATTTACTCTTACGGACAATTTAGAGTCAGCGGTTAACCTGCGTGTCTTTGGACTGTGAGACAAAGCCGGAGCACCTGCAGAAAACCCACGCTGACACGGAGAGAACATGCAAACTCTGCACAGAAGGGCCCCAGCCAGCCAGTGGGTTCAAACCAGAATCCTCTTACTGTGAGGTGACAGTGCTAACCACTGCACCAACATGTCACCCTTAATGTTTATGTCACAAAACTCTTTATTCTTGCCAAATAAAGAATCAAAGCCTTTGGATTTCTTCCAACTCTGCATTTCAGTCTTGTACAGATTGACTTTCTGAGCCTGTTTCATCAGCGAGGGCAGGCAGTGACACCACCGCTGCACATTGGCTCTCTACTTTGTTCATTAATAACGTCAAACATTGTGGAGCCTGTGAGGACCATTCACTATCCTACTACACCTATCTAACCTGCTCCATTTGTATTCCCAACATTGATATATTTGGCAGGCTCCAGTCTAGACAGGGGTCTTACATGAGCTGAGTACATGAGTGTAGATCAATCCCTCAGAAGGAAAAGGGCAATTCAATATGAAATGAGATTTTGTATTGCTCCACTTTTTGTCTGACTCCACTTTGATAAATAAACAGGTACTAACCTAATAGAATTTTAGAAACAACAAAGGGAGGCTTATGATAAGCCCTAAAGCCTTGTCTAAAAAAATCTACTGCATTGTAGAATGTACAAGAGATTTTAGAGTCAGTAAATACACCTAAAGTGCAGGGAAATGTTCCCTAATTCCAACATTTTTTTGCCTTAACTTCTACCAAAGAAAACAAAAAATGCAAAAGCTGCTAATGTCCATGATCAGCTGAATCTATAACAAACAAAGGCAGTACAATACAACGACTGTGAGGCTGATTGAAATGCAACTCATTATATCAATTCAGCTCTCTTGCCTTTTCCTTTCACTTGAGTGAACCTATTGATTTGTGCCACTAAGGCATTACAGGCTTCAAACTGCCTTGCTGCGAGTCGCTGTCCTTTCAGCACCGCTTGGTGTTGGAAAGGGAGAAGGTGAACAGCGCGAGGCAGAGAAAAGAAAGAGCCTTTCCCAAATATTCCTCCCTTTCACCCGGGTGTGAAATACAATCAACACCTCTGGGGCCTGCTCATGCCAGCCAGCAACGCCGGAGCACAAGTCTTCACACACTCTCAAATTAAAGAAATTAAAAGTCACTGGTCTGCACCAACAATTCAGCATTATCCCATTCACAATCACAAACACACAGGATGGAAACAAAGGATTGTGGAGGGAAGGAGGGGCACTGAAATGACAGTGTAAATATGTGTGTGTGTGTGTGTGTGTGTGTGTGTGTGTGTGTGTGTTTTTTCTCGCTGAATGACCCCGGTTGGTGGCATCGTGGTCACTGTCACCCTGTTCGCTGTCACCGTGACCACTGTCTTTGGAGCTGACAATGTCTGCCTCTTGGAATGCCGAACTGTGAGAAGCGAGGAGGTGAGAGGAGTGAGAGTGGTGTCAGAGAAAAGAGAAAGTTATGAAAATAATGAAGGGGTCAGAGAGAGAGGTCCAGATACAATATTGAGAAGGGGAAGACGAAGGGAGATGAGGAGGATTACATGAGTGGCAGAGAGAGAGAGGGGCAGAGTCAGAAATCAACACCATATTAATACAGTCATGGTGGCCGTCAAGAGTCTAAATTGGATGTTACACATGGCATGTAATGAAATCTAGCATTAGAGCTGTAATAGGCACTGCTCTGTCAGTTATGGGACAGATGCCAAACTGAAGATGAACATTATGGATGCATTGGGAACCATGTAGCCTCATAAAGCCATAATTAACAGTGTGGAATATATGGGACTCACAGTGATGGATGTAATGTTAAATTTTATATACATATATATAAAAAGCCTTGGTTCCATGAGGCCATTTGGATGTTACAGGTCCTCTGATGGTGGATGCTATGTGGCTGACTAGGTTTTGCACATTAGTAATAATATAGTGTGTGTGTGTGTGTGTGTGTGCTTTTCTCTACCTGTTGACCCGTCTGGGTCTGTCCACCAGGTAGCTGAGTTCTGCTCGTTGGTGTTTTGTCTAGAAAAGCCACAGAAACACACATGATCACTGTTAATGCTAAAAAAACACATGAAAGAGGTTTATATTGTATAAGAGTGACAACAATTGACCCCTTATTCATACACTGGCTGTCACTATGACTGTAATAGAAGAAGGTAAGGGACGTAAGAGGCAGGGTAGGCCACCGACAGTGCGTGCATCCACTTGGTGAATGAGTGGGCGAGAGGAGAGTGGGTTAGGGAGGCGATTGAATGGGTAAATGATTGAGCTGCCCAGCACTGAAACTGAAAAGCCTTTGTTCACGGTGCTGCCGTGCTGGGTCGTGCACGGAATACTTAACACCCAGCAAAGGCAAGACTGTGACTGGCAATCTAGCTCCTCTCCAGTCACACTGCAATCAACAAAACACTCATCTCCCCCCATCTTCTGCTCACATTATTTGACATACAACTTTATAATCTAATGATTTACCATCCAAAATTGTATGTGCATAAGGAAGTCCAGTTATTGAAGACTACTAATGTCACAAACTATCTTGGACGCACAAAAATGCTCTCTTGGTGGGATTTTTTCCCCCTAGGTTTCTGATAAATGCATGTATTTTGACCCCCCCACCCCAGCATTATGCCTAACAATGATTAAAGGCCACAGAGCAGAACAGCCAAATCAATAGGAGATACCACTTCAATCCTCTCAGGGACCTTTGTTTCGCGTGATCTAAGTGGATAACATACCTTGACATGAAGCAGACACAGCTGCTGGTTTCTGGGGGATCTTTAAAATGGAGTCAACCCTTTGAATCACGCGCCTTGGGTGACAACAGCTGTTTTGGGCTCCTCTTACCTCATTAGAGAGAATACTTCCATTGGATATGATGTCCGGTTGTTGGTCACTGTAGCCCGTGACTATGGCGCCGCAGTGGTTGGTGTGATCCGTGTCAGTGCTGCGGGAGGGGCTGCACGGTTTGAGGAACATCAGATCCGTTTTGGCGGACTCTGGAGTCAGACACACCTGGTAGCAGTAGGAGTTCTGGTTCTGGTGGTGATGGGAGCCGAAGCCCCCTCCCACGCTGCCTATACCAGACTCCTCCACGGGCACCTGCCCCATGGGCCCGACCCCTGACGTCACGTTGGTGCTCTGAACTAACATGATGTCGGATTTACTCAGCTTCTTTTGTTTTCGGCCGCGAGCCTGTCTGCTACAGCACGAGCCACAGCACAGGCAGCAGTCACCGGCCAGCAGGCACGTGTACAGGTTGAGTTTCTTGTCCTTTTGACAACGCACGGCCAGCACGATCATAGCCAGGAGAAAGATGAATGACACGGAGCCCAAGGCGATGATGAGAATGAGGGTGAGGTCAAGGGAGGTATCTTTTGCCCTGGAGGCCGAACCAAGATCCCTGCTGCGGCCTTCGACCACGCTGTCCACAAACATTACGCTCACACTCGCCGAGGAGGAGAGAGGCGGCTGCCCGTGGTCCCTCACTTCAATCAGCAGGTCGTAGAAGCCCTGCGGGTCCCGCTTGGGAGAGATCCTGCGGGCTGTCCTCAGCTCCCCGGTCCTCCAGTCCATGCGGAACATCCCAATCTCGTTGCCCCGCAGGATGCTGTAGGACAGCCGTGCGTTCTCTCCATCATCTGCATCCATAGCCACGATGCGCGTCACCAGGTAGCCAGGCTCCGCAGAGCGCGGCAGGTGTTCTTTGGCTGTACCGTTTTTACCGATGGGGGCTATTACAGTGGGAGCGTTGTCATTTTGGTCAACTATAATCACATTTACAGTGGCATTAGAGAAGAGCTCAGCAGCACCCGAGTCTTTAGCCTGGACCATGAAGCTAAACTCCTTTAGCTGCTCGTAATCAAAAGAGCGCAGGGCGTAAAGGTAGCCGGTGTCCTGGTTTATGGATACGTAGGTATCCACAGACATGCCCTGTATGTCGCACTCCAATATGGAGTAAGTAATCAAAGCGTTTTGTCCTATATCAGGGTCCAGAGCGCTCACGGCATGAATGAAAGCACCGGGCACATTATTCTCAGTCACATACACATCATAAACAGCCTGAGTAAATCGGGGCGCGTTGTCATTCTCATCAGACACGTGCACTTTAATAGACTTGCTGGTGGCGAGCGACGGCTGACCCTTATCTTTGGCCACCACAGTGATGGTGTAGGAGTCTGTGTTCTCTCTGTCCAGTGATCCCTCTGTCACGATGGTGTAGTAGTTTTTAAAAGAGGATTTCAGCTTAAAAGGAACGTCTCCTAATATCTCGCAGCTCATATGTCCATTCTCACCCGAGTCCCGATCTGACACGCTAAACAGTGCAATCACGGTGCCTGGGGCGTCCTGCTCGCTCACGGATTCAGTCACAGTACTGAAACCAATTTCTGGAGTGTTGTCGTTCACGTCCACGAGTTTGACCAGCACTTTGCAGTGCGCGGGGACCGCATTAGCCCCCAGATCTTTAGCCTGGACATAAATCTGATGCGTGCTGCTCTCCTCATAGTCCACCTCACCTGCAACCTCTATCCTACCTGTTCTGGCATCAATGTTGAATAAGTCCTTTATCCGCGGGGCGTTGTGACTGCTGAAAGAATAAACTATTTCCCCGTTTTGCCCCTCGTCAACATCCGTGGCGTTGAGCTGAATGACCAGAGTGCCCACAGGAGAGTTTTCTCGCAGGTTAAGAGAGTACACAGACTGGTCAAAGGTGGGCGCGTTATCATTGGAGTCCAGAACTTTAACCACCAAGAGAGCCGTCCCCGTCCGCTGGGGCATGCCCCCATCCACAGCCGTCAGCACATAGCGGTGCACCGCCTGCTGCTCCCTGTCCAGCGGCTTCTCCAGCACCAGCTCTGCGAACTTGTTCCCGTCGCTCTGTGTCTGCACGTCAAGGTAAAAATAATTATTATTCGTGATGGCATATGTGCTAAGCGCGTTTGTGCCCACGTCAGGGTCGAAGGCATTCTCCACCGGGAAACGGGTCCCCGGGATGGCGCTTTCCGATATCTCGACGGAAATGTCTGTCTCAGGAAAGCTGGGTGGATTGTCGTTGATATCCATCACCTCAATCTCCACGCGAAAGAGCTCCAGTGGGTTCTCCAGAAACACCTCCAGGTGCAATAGGCACGGGATGGTTTGCTTACAGATTTCTTCGCGGTCAATTTTCTCCTTCACGACGAGCGCACCGTTCTCTAAGTTCACCTCCAGATAAGGTGTCCGTGAACTAGGCACCGTCTGAAAGCGGCGAGCAGAAAGTTTGGTAATGTCAAGTCCCAAATCCTCTGCAATATTCCCAACCACCGAGCCAGGTTCCTGCTCCTCTGGCACGGAGTAGTGTAGCTGAGAGAGAGCTCCATCCAGGATGGAGACCAGGAATATTAACCAAATCATCTCCCCTCCCTTTCACAAAGTGCACTTCAAGACGAAAACAAAAACGTGTTATTCATTTTTCTTACAACAAATGAGCATTTCCCATTTCCTTTGTCCGTAAAACGGCAGTGAAATAAACAGCAACAAGGCTGTCCCGATTGTGAAATTCCTCTCCTGTGCCTCGGGTCAGTGGAACATTGTGTCGTTTCAGCTGTGAGAAACACAGCCATTTGATCCGAGCTTCTCTGTTTTAATCAATTCTGCACCGGTCTGTGAGTTTTGGCGTCAGTGCAAACATTACAGGCTGGAGCCAAGACGCATAGCCAACACTCCCTGTGCTCAGAACAGACAGCCCCTTCTTCACACAAAGTCACACAGGAACAACAATACAGGAAATTCCACATGAGCAGGAAAAGAAGAATAAGCAAGAAGTCCTATTGGCGCGCTGCCGGCATCGATAACAAATGCAACTTCGACCTAAAGACTGGCAAGTTAAAGGACTTTCTCTCTGTCTCGCTCTGAGAGGATGTAATCACTGAGCCTAAGCGCTCAAAGCGGATGATGCTTTCAGCTCGGCTTCTGCAAGGCGAGTGTGAGCAGCGGGGTTGGTTTTGCGCACAGCTTTTCCCCCACCAGCCAATAGTATTCTCAAACACCGGGAGTAATGGCACCTGATTGGGGCTCCGCGACGCCAGCCAGAGCACACATCGGATCCTCATAACAAAACCGGTTAAGCGCCGCTGCGCTCTTTTCCTCGACCACCTCTCTCCTCCAGGCCTCAGCCTCAGTTATAGCAGGGAAATTAAATGTTTTACACATCCAGTGAATTAAGAAAGTCGAATAATAGTGGGTGACAGTCGGCATCGGGTGCTGTGCAGATAAGGCTGCAGCTGCCCTGGTAGTGCTGGTATTTCTAAAATATTATCTTGGGGGAAAAAAAGCCTTTACATATTATGACCACGACCCCCACCCCCAAATATATGAGTCAGGATGTAGCAAGGATGGCCACAGCCAAAGATCACTAAAGAGTCTGCGCAAGTAAAGATAGCTATAGTGACGCAATACCTCACCGTGTCTTGGCCATCCTCTCTCCCTCTGTCTCTTTTGTGTGTGTGTGTGTGTGTGTGTGTGTGGTCGTGGTGATGGGGGAGGGGCATTTCAAATAAGGTAATATCTCCAGTGTTGTTTGGGCGTAAACATCAGTATGACACAAGGTTCACAGCAGGATCACACATGACTTACTTTCATTCAGTGTAATGAAGCGTCATACTTTAGTCCTACCGTGTTTCTAATAGCCGAGAGTCTAATAGTTCCCCTATCTTCCCATTATCATTAACCCCCTCACATACTGGCCTTGACTGTAGTGCAGTTGCATCATGTACCAACTTAATTCATAAAGCATAAATTAAATATGCAAATGGAATAGTCGTAAGGGAGACACAAATAGTGGGGGTCTAACTATTTGCACACCATTTGGAGGATGATGACAAAAAGATGAAAAGGAGCGTAATTGAAGATAATTAGCACATGTCTCTAATTCTAAATGTAATAGACGGAGCGCAACAATATCGTCCGTAATGCAAAGCGATGTGCCCATTGTGCAGGGGATTAAACAGCAAGCAATACGCGATTCTGCATCTCGCCATACAAGTCAAAAGAAACAAAGAGGAGACGTTAGATGAATTTCCACCCATGTCTGAGCCGGAGCTGTGTGACTGAATCGAGCTGACACTGAAGTCGGATCTCAGAGCAGAGCGCTCAGTAGCTCTCTCTCTCTCTCTCTTTCGCTCTCTCTCTCTCTCTCTCTCTCTCTCTCTCTCTCTCTCTCTCTCTCTCTCTCTCTCTCTCTCCGACAGGGTGTTACAGAGACCAACGTCGCCCTCTCGCGTCTGCCCGCTTTCTTTTCTTCTGTCTGTCTTCGTTTCTCATTTCTGGAGATGACAAGGGGTTACTGAAACTCGCGTACTGGTTTCCACTGAATTTGCTCATTTTTGTCCATTTACACACCACATTGGTTTTAAATATCTCCTCCACCACTGTACATAGACCAGTCAACATGCCACTTCAAAAGACAAAAAAGAGTATTCAATAGGAAATAAAATTTTTACACACACACACACACACACTATATACATATATATAGCCTATATATGAGAGAAAGAGGAGTATGAAATAACAAACAAGAGTATTAAAACAATACAATAAAACATTTAATTTAAAATGTACAAAAATGTTAATTTTATTGTATAGATGAGTTTATTTTGTAATTTCGTTACACATACCTACACACACACAAAATTACTAAATTTTTTATTTATTTCTATTTATTTAGATGTGTTTATTTTGTATTTTTATCACACATTTTGTATTTTTATCACACACAAACTTAATTTGTTTCTATTATCTTACTCTCGTCTCTCTCTCTCTCTCTCTCTATATATATATATATATGTACATATATGGGTTTTTTTCTACAATGGGGGAATAAGGATCCAGTATTCTTGTAAAAATAGCAGCCATATTCCTTAAGAGTCCTGCATTAACTTACAGTAATTGAAAGTATAAAAGACACATGAACTTACAACATGGAAAGTACACATGGAAATTGTACATACACATGGACAAACAGAACATATACACATGGACAAACGGCCTGAGGGAGTGTCATTTAATTAGATATTATTATGGATTATTATTTCTGACACGTTATGTGTAAGTTTCATTTTACAGTCGGTCAGAATGGACTGTGCTGTAACTACATATATAAGAGGATCATTTGTACATAAAACCATGTAATTACTCAGGAAAGGAAAGTTTAGTTGAGTGTGTGTGTGTGTGTGTGTGTGTGTGTGTGTGTGTGTGTGTGTGTGTCTGTGTGTTCTACTACTACTAGCTACTTTGTATCATGTACATTTATTTATATATTTCCATTTATTGTGTAACCAGTAAGCAACTAAGTCTGTTTACAGTCGTGTTGGTGGCCTGTGTGATTCTGATGAGTGACCATTGTGACATCATCTGATGTCATATGAGCAGCTTTGTTCAATGTAATTAACTGGAGTACTTCTAACCATCAAATGTGAAGAACAAGTCCACCATGTCCCCATTGAATAGGAGGAGCACCAGGTCATTGGTCTTCACAGAGAAGAGAAGCATGAAAATGAAGCATCTGCGGTCCATGACAGACAACAAGAATACTGTTTTCTTGCTGAGATGACCCATGCAGACCTTGTCTTGGAACTCCTGATAATGCCTGCTGCACATGAACTCCACAGGTGAGCAGATAAACCATTGCCTGAGGAGCTTGACAGGTTCCTCTCCCTTGTATTGTCTGTTGCTTATGATTGTCAGTTTGAGAAGACTCGTCAACTTGTGCTTTCTTTAGGATAGGATAGGATAGGATAGGATAGGGCCTTTGCAGAGCAGTGACAAATGGCAAATAAAGACACTGCATTTGGCTATTGCAGGAAACAACTGAAACAAAACAGCAGAGGTTATATTGTTATATGAGCCTATGCCTGTTTTTTTTGTTTTGTTTTTTTTACCAATAAAGAGTAGTTGGAATCAACTGAAGATGGCTGCCAAATGATCCCCACAGGCCATGAGCTGACCTTGGCAACAAGAAAAATTCTTTACTAGACACCATTAGGATCCAAAAAAACAGGTTACAAAAAAGTGCCATGTGGGTGCAGCTTTACTAAATGAACAGTTAGAGTAATGAACAGTTTAGGACACCTGTAAAGCAGAGTGATACATGCATAACTGGCAGAGTGATACATCCTTGAGGAACCTTTAGGGGTTCTTCAATATGACACTGGGGAGGAACCTTTTAAGGTGCTTTGAGGAACCCTAAGAAAAGGTTCTTCGAAGAACCCTTTCTTTAGGTTACTTGAGGAACATTTTTTATTTACATATCTGATTTCGCAAAAATAGAGTCAAATACAAAATATTAATAAATACAATAAATTCAATAAATGCAAAATATTACAGGAATAAATACAACAAATAAGAAATATTACAGGAATAAATTAAATAAATTCACTACATGCAAAATATTACAGGAATAGATTCAATAAATACTAAATATTACACTAATAAATACAATAAAGTCAATAAATGCAAAATAGTACACTAATAAATACAATAAAATCAATAAATGCAAAATATTACACGAAAAAATACAATAAAGTCAATACAAAATATTACAGGAATCATATATTATATGATATATGATTCCAGTATAGATTCACTTAGAACAAGAAATTTGCCATTTTAATTACCCCTGCTGGAACTTTTTCATTAGATTTAATCCCAACCATACACCGCTGCAGAAAAATTAGTCTTCCTTAATTTTTCAACAAACCTGACTCCAAAAATGAAATAGACTGCAATTAGGGCACCAACTCCCATTGTGATGTCGTCAGGCTTTGTTATTTCAACTCTGTCCAAACGCAGGGAGATGTCACTGTCTGCATTGAAGGGGTTCCCACTGACAAGCAGCACGGGTGTCTTCACCACCTACAACAAGCAGGCAACAAATAGACACTATCTGACATGAATATTCATTCATTCATTCATTCATCTTCTAACCGCTTCATCCTCTTGAGGGTCGCGGGGGGGCTGGAGCCTATCCCAGCTGACATCGGGCGAGAGGCAGGGTACACCCTGGACAGGTCGCCAGACTATCGCAGAGCTGACACATAGAGACAGACAACCACTCACGTTTACATTCACACCTACGGACAATTTAGAGTTATCAATTAACCTAATCCTAATCTGCATGTCTTTGGACTGTGGGAGGAAGCCGGTGTGCCCGGAGAGAACCCACACTGACACGGGGAGAACATGCAAACTCCGCACAGAAGGGCTCCCACACCCGGGATCGAACCGGGAACCCTCTTGCTTCTTGTCGCTTGTGAGGCGACAGTGCTAACCACCACACCACCATGCCGCCCCGACATGAATATGTTATATTTATTTTATTTATTTATATATATATATGTTATGCGGATGATACACAGTTGTATTTATCGATGAAGCCAGAAGAAAGTAATCAATTAACTAAACTCCATAACTACCTTAAAGACATAAAAACCTGGATGAGCACCAATTTCCTGATGTTAAATTCAGACAAAACTGAAGTTATTGTTCTTGGCCCCAAACAACTCAGAGACTCTTTATCTGATGACATAGTTTCTCTAGATGGCATTGCTCTGGCCTCTAGCACTACCGTAAGAAACCTCGGAGTAATATTTGATCAAGATTTGTCTTTTAATTCTCATTTAAAGCAAACCTCACGGACTGCATTTTTTCATCTGCGTAATATTGCGAAAATTAGGCCTATCCTGACCCGAAAAGATGCAGAAAAATTGGTCCACGCTTTTGTTACCTCAAGGCTGGATTACTGTAACTCTCTATTATCAGGTAGCTCTAGTAAGTCCTTAAAAACTCTCCAGCTAATTCAGAATGCAGCAGCACGTGTACTAACAGGAACTAAGAAACGAGATCATATTTCTCCTGTTTTAGCTTCTCTGCACTGGCTCCCTGTAAAATCCAGAATTGAATTTAAAATCCTACTGTTAACTTATAAAGCTCTAAATGGT